AAACGGGATTGTAGGGATTGGAGGGTGTCTGTGNGTATTCAACGAAGCAACTTATAAGGGCGAATTCCTCACCCGGCCGTTGGCACCTTCAGCCGTTACAACATTTGTGTGACATGTGACTTCATGTGTTTTCGGATCCATTCTAGGCCCAGGTCGTCGTGTAAATCGACGTTTCCCACAAACCACGGAGCTCCGACGGCTAGCCTGCAAAAACGGGATTGTAGGGATTGGAGGGTGTCTGTGCGTGCGGGCTGCGTGAGCGAACATCACACTCGCGTAAGTCATGACGGGCCTTATGCAAGTTTTGTAAAGTGTCACCTAGTTCCGAAGGTACATTTTACTCCGATTACAAATCATGGGGTGGAGTCCGCCGAGAATAAACGTGGCACGGCCGCAAACTGATTAACTGAATAACAACCAGGTACTTGACCTTTCTGACCCAGGGTCTGGGTTGGCCGAAGAGGGTGATCATATGAGTGGGAGTATTATCGTGAGCATGAGATTTCTCCTCATAATCTGGGCGGAAATCCGTGTGGAGTTTCCCCTTTGAAATAGCACCGCTGTGCTTATCGGTGGGTCTGGTGTCTATGCGCCATTTCCGGAATCACTGTACTAGGGTTACGACTGCGCTCTAGAGTTTCCTCGCGATTAGGGACTTGTTTCTACTCGAGTAGTAAACGGACGTGTCGTCGGCGAATAAGGTGACTGGGAAACGACGTTAATAAATAAACTAAATAAGAGTGGAGAGAGGACAGAGCCTTGCAGGACTCCAGCCGTGAGCGGTCGCGGTGAGGAGCGGGTTCCCTTGACTCGATATCGAAAAGAGCGGTTCGACAAGAGGTCTCGTATGATGAGCACGAGACTGTCCGGCACGCCCATGTTTAAAAGTTTGAAAATCAAACCATTGTGCCAGACTTTGTCGAACGGTTTCGCGACGTCGAAGAAGAGGGCTCCCGTATAGAACGGTTTTTGTCGGTTAAGCCCTACGAGAATGTGCCCATGATGCAGTGCACCTGTTGTACGCATGAGTGATTTGCACGAAATCTGAATTCTTCATCGATGAGAATGCCCCTGGATGAGACGAAGTCTCTGAGGCGTTTGTAGAGCAGACGCTCGAACAGTTTGCCTAGAGACATGAGGCTAATCGGGCGATAACTCGTCGGATGATTATTCCGTCGTCGGTGGACGGATGCGGCTGAGACCGTAGGCGGTCTCGTTTGTGGATTCCATTTCTGCACGTGCCCAGAAGGGGCTGCCCCGGGACTTTAGCACACTCGCCTTACGTCAAAGCTCCAATATGGGAGTCCCTCCACGTTTGGATTGCTGAATTGAACTTTTTCACTCACCTTCGAGTTCCCGCCAAAATTGTGCCAACAGTGTTGTCGTATTCTTTTATTATAAGGTTTTTAAGTATTTATGTAAATTAAAACTATCTTTTACTCTAATTTACTTTTAATTTAATGTATAATTATTCCCGTTTCTCTGTTGAAACAGTGACAGTGTCTCGTAGATTATTACTCTTCAGCTTATTTGCGACATTGCGAGGTTTTAACAACTAATAATGGTGGGTTGTAAATCGTTTAGCATCTTTGAAAGTAGGAAAAAAAAAACTCGAAAAGTTTCTCGGGCTCTGCCAAAAAACCACAAAGTCTCAGTAAACTCCCATCGTCTTACTTAGACATTATTCTAAATCATCTATACTAATACTATAAAGAGGAAAGATTTGTTTGTTTGTTTGTTTCGAATAGGCTTCCAAAGTACTGAACCGATTTGAAAAATTCTTTCACTGTTTAGGAGCTACAGTATTTCCGAGTGACATAGGCTATATAATTTTTTTTAAAATTAGGGATCCTTACTAAAACTCCAACAATGTAACCCAAGGTGTAAATCTATACTCTATACTAATATTATAAAGCGGAAAGATTTGTTTGTTTGTTTGTTTCAAATAGGCTTCCAAAGTACTGAACCGATTTGAAAAATTCTTTCACTGTTTAGGAGCTACAGTATTTCCGAGTGACATAGGCTATATATATTTTTTTTAAATTAGGGATCCTTACTAAAACTCCAATAATGTAACCCAAGGTGTAAATCTATACTAATATTATAAAGAGGAAAGATTTGTTTGTTTGTTTGTTTCGAATAGGCTTCCAAAGTACTGAACCGATTTGAAAAATTCTTTCACTGTTTAGGAGCTACAGTATTTCCGAGTGACATAGGCTATATAAGCTTTTTTTTAAATTAGGAATCCTTACTAAAACTCCAATAATGTAACCCAAGGTGTAAAAAATTCACCAAAAATATTCTTTACATCGCGTGCGCTGCGAAAACGATTGATGATAAAATAAAATAATGTACTATAACTTTGTAGAACACATTATTATTTACAAAAAATGTGGCGACAGCATATGTCCGACTATTATAGCTATGCCACAATAAGTGTAAATTTATTTAAAAAATAAAAAACAACGTCCAATATCGTTTACAGGGTAGCTTTTTTATAATTGTGGGTTTACTGGTGCCCCGGAGGCCTTTCCAGTTTCACAAGGACAGGTGGGCGAGCAAGGGCTCAGCCAGTACAGGGAAGCTCTTACTCAATAAACTCAATGGCTTTTGTTTTGTATCTATGACCTTTTTACGAAAACTAGAAAAATAATAATATAAAAATAATATAAAAATAGATAAAAACAAATATTATTTAAACGAATATAAAAGTTTATTAAAAAAATATTATTCAAACTATCTTTATAATTTTCTATTTTTAGAGACCTGACGCAAATATAAGGGATAATGTGTGTGTGTTATAATTTTTGATTTTGAAAATTTTGATAAAAACCCGAGCGAAGCCGGAGCGGGACGCTATTTATCAATAAAAAAAATGTATACCCGAATAATTATTTTCTTTAAACCTCGAATAGAACTTAAAACTAATATTTTTATAATAAGGAGCTTCGTTCCTATGCGGTGTCCCACGACACCACGCATTTCACATTCCGATATAGGCACCCGTCACGTGCGGACGTGCTCATCGACCACTCGATCGCCCGGCCTTTGTTCGCCCGGCTTTTGTTAGCCCGGCCATTGTTCGCGCGGCCTGTGTTCATGGTACATCTGCCGACCAAGTGTTTTTCCTGGAAGTTTTTATTTGTTTTGTTTCCTTTTGTTATTTCTGTGTTTGTGGTACATCTGCCGACAAACTGTTTTCCTGGAAGTGCTTAATTGTTTTGTTTCTTTTTGTTATTTCTATTTTGTTGTGTTTCTTTGTCGTAGTAATCGCGCCGCATTGCCACCTGTGTTCAATAGAACCGCTCAGGTCCGAAAATTTGGGGCCTCGTGTTTTCAAGACCCGGGGCCGCCCCACCTGGGCACTCAGCGATCATGGACGCTGTATTCGCGGAATTCCTCCGACTTCGCCACCCACAGCTCGCCTCAGAGTTTCTGACCTTCAAGGCCAATCACACTGCGAGCCCTCTCGAGGACTCCGCCGCGCTCGCTGCTCCTGCGTCGTCTGTACCTGCGCGCAAAGCTTCTGCATCGAGCACCGCAGCCTCCGTCGTGCCTGCCGCTCCCGTGTCGCCTATACTGGCGAGTAAAACTGCTGCGTCGTCCGCCGTGGCCACCGTTCCAGCAGCGCGATCATCCGCGGCCTCCGTCGCGCCCTCCATAACTCCTGCCCGTAGGTCACCTGCGCCCGCCTCCTCGTCCTCCGACTCTGACTCGGAGATGGAGGTCGACCTCGCCCCCGCCTCATCGACGGATGGATTCAACCTGGTACAAAAGAGTAAGAAGCGTGCCGCGGAGTCTCAAGCTCCCGCGGCCGCTAAAATTAGCAAAGCCGCGAACGCGTCTCGTCCCCGCCCTCACACTCCCGTTGCGCCTCCAGCCCGTGCCAGTCCGTCGCCGCGTCCGGTGGCACAAAATAAAACCCAGACCCCTCCCCCGGTAATCCTTCAAGAGAAGGCAGCTTGGGATCGAGTGTCCCTGGCCCTTAAGGCCAACAATATCAATTTCACGAATGCCCGTAACCTCGCGAACGGCATTCAAATTAAGGTTCGAACACCCGACGACCATAGGGCCCTCTCTTCTTACCTCCGTAAGGAGCGTATAAGTTTCCACACGTATACGCTCCAGGAGGAGCGCGAACTCCGTGCCGTCATACGTGGCATCCCTAAAGAGTTGNACTTGCACAGACATAACCAAGCAGCCAGAATCCTCCACCAAGAGCTCGCCCTTAAGTATGGCCTCATCGAACAGAGGCTACCGTATTATAAGTACCAGCCGGACGCTGTACTCGAAAACGACCGTGCCAAGCTCTACTGGGACCGGCCCATCATTACGGACAGGACTATTCTTGCGAATAAGCCTGATATCGTGCTGATGGACCAGACGGAGTCTCGGGTATTTCTGGTGGATATCACCATTCCCTACGACGAGAACCTCGTGCGGGCCGAGGCAGATAAAAAGACCAAATATTTGGACCTGGCGCACGAGGTGACCGACATGTGGAGGGTGGTATCTACAGAAATAATCCCGGTAGTTGTGTCGGTGAATGGTTTGGTCCCTAAAAGCCTCTCAAAACATCTCGAGAGGCTTGGTCTCAACAAAAAGTCGGTGGTGGCCCAAATGCAAAAGGCAGTCTTGCTCGACAATGCCCGTATAGTTCGCCGGTTTCTCTCCCAATAGTCCCTAACGCTCCGGCCGATTGTTGCCCATCTCGCCGGAGTGTGTCCTGCCGTCTACCCAGGCGTGGCAGTGTTTAATACACTATAATAATAATAATATAGCCTTTTATTCAGATCCATATTACAAAATTATATGACTAAATATAATATTATATAGAAAACTTAAATTTTATTTAAGCATTTTTTACTATTTTTTTAAATACGATTTGTTACAAATGGAATCAAAAATACAAATGTTACAAATGGGCTTATTAAAATTTAATAATATATTTACCTATTTTTCTTAATATCCTGTTAAAGTTATTTCACTGTTTGTTCCAGAAAAAATCAACTACTATGCAATCGCTGACAATGGCTGGATATCTATTTGGAACATCATTGGAAGTCTTCTTATTTTGTTATCAAGGGGAATTCCTTCGTGAATCTGTACGTATTTGGACATTTCGGACAGTTTGTGCCTCTGATGTCGATATTGCACTAGATAATCGGAGGAGCAGTACCCGGTCCACTTGGTCTAGTTGTAGTTCATGGACATCAACAATGCCAGGGGCTAAAAGCAAGTTACTGCCAATAGCTTAACCACTTTAAAACATGTTCGAAGAAGGACATATTGTATACGAGGGTGATGGTATGCCTTATATNTACTTAGACATTATTCTATATCATTACATTTAATCTTGCCTTGCTCCGTTCATTACAGTCCATGATTTCTATACATTATAAATAAAATTGGAGCGTCTGTTTGTAATATTGAAATAACCGCTTTTTACTACACGCATATGAATATGGTATGGTATGAGTATGGTATGGTATGGTATGGTATGGTATGGAATACGTTACATACGCCATAATAACATTTTTTACAATTTTGGTCTGTCTGTCTGTTTGTTCCGGCTAATGTCTGGAACGGCTGGCCCGATTTTGACGAAATTTTACTAAGTAATAAAACAAATCGAACATTGAAAGTGTTTATTTAGTTGAATAATATTTAAATTATATTATTATTAAGTGAATTTTTTAAAATATTTTAATTATTCAAAGATTGTTACATCATAAACTTAATGTCAATATAAATTAAAAGAACTTGGGCTCAGCCACAAGGGGTGGGTTCGATAACAAAGGCCCGAGGATAACGATAATAACAATAACTATCCGAAGATGAGTCAGTAAACCAGGGGCAGCTGCTGCCGCTGCAGCTGGGGATAAATTTTCCCATGGAAAGAATGCGTGCTTCTATTCTTCTAACTGGCCTCAACGTTTAAAGGACTGTATTGCAGCCAATGGAGACCACGTCGAATAAGCTTTTTATACTTTAAATTGTTTTATATTTATGTATTAAACTAACACACTGTAAAAGTAATAAATGTTATTTGCAATAGATTTTTTTTTATTTTTAATTGTAACAGTACCTATGGCCAGATATAGATAATTTATATTGTATCTTAACTTATATCTTTAAACGAGCAATTCTTGCATATTAATATATATATGTTTATAATCTGAATCTCGGAAACGGCTCCAACGATTTTCATAAAATTTAGTATACAGGGGATTTCGGGGGCGATAGATCGATCTAGCTACGATTTATTTTCAGAAAATGTAGTTTTATTCATGTTTTCAATAATCAACTCTTCCCGACATCTATTGGCGAATAATAATACTATTTTTCTTAACTTTAAAGACACAACAAGATGGCGTTATAAAAAAAAACCGGTCATCATCTAGTTTTTGTTATAAAACACCAGAATGTGCTCGTATTATTATTCATTCTTATTTATATGCTTATTGCAACGCATGTGACAGCACATTAAAGCAGCAGACCAACTTGAAACCTCTTCAAGTTATCCAATCCCGTTTTTGCAGAACAGCCGTNACAAGAAAGGCACACCTAGCCAGTGCCATAACTGCCAATTATACGGGCATTCTTCCCGTAACTGTCACGCGCGCCCCCGATGCGTCAAGTGTTTAGGCGATCACGCCACGGCCCTATGCACTCGCGATCAAAAAACCGCGACGGAACCGCCTAGCTGCGTCCTGTGTCGAACACAGGGTCACCCCGCAAATTACCGCGGATGACCCCAAGCCCCGAAAATAAATAGCCGCGTCGCCCGCCAAAACCGCCTCCGAGCTTCCGGCCCAGACATCAAAGCCTCGGCACCCTCTGTGTCGCAGGCTAAGCCAGCGTTCGTGGCGGCGCCGGTGCCCAGTGTCTCGGCTTGGGCGAAACCGCTGCCGTACACGAACAGCAGCAGCTACTCTGGAGTTGTTAGGTCTCCTTCGGAGGCGGTCGGCAAATCCCACCCCTCCTGGCTAAGCCTTTGCTCGCCCACCTGTCCTGGTGAAACTGGAAAGGCCTCCGGGCCACCAGTAATCCTTCAATCATAAAAATATATATATATATATATATATATATATTTGAAGTCGTCGTGGCCTAAAGGATAAGACGTCCGGTGCAAACGTGTTGAGCAATGCACCGGGGTACGACAAGCAGGTACCAATTCTCCTAATGAAATATGTACTCAACAAATGTTCACGATTGACTTCCACGGTGAAGGACTAATATAAATCCATAGTGTAATAAAAATCAAATCCGCAATAATTATAATTTGCTTAATTACTGGTGGTAGGACCTCTTGTGAGTCCGCGCGGGTAGGTACCACCACCCTGCCTATTTCTGCCGGGAAGCAGTAATGCGTTTCTACTAAACTATACTTGAGACCTCAGAACTTATATCTCAAGGTGGGTGGCGCATTTACGTTGTAGATGTCTATGGGCTCCAGTAACCACTTAGCAACAGGTGGGCTGTGGGCTCGTACTCGGCCCATTACGGACCTGCGTTATAAGAAGGATTGGTATATTTATTTGAGACTAGCTGACCCGGCAAACTTCGTAGTGCCTCAATCGATAAATAAAAAACCTAAGTAAGCTTAGCTGTGCTCATGGGTGATGGTGGTCACGACCCTCAGACATGAGGAACACGACTCGAGGAGGAGGAGGAAGCTTAGCTGTATAAAATAAACTTAAAACAAACAAAAGGAATCCGTCCGACGGGGGACACATTAAAGGATAAACAAAATTGTTATTTTTATTTAATTCCGAGCATTTTCATATTTATCTACCTTTCAAACCATCTCTGGACTTCCACAAATAATTCAAGACCGCACGCTACCGTCACTCTAGCGCGCTGGCACCAGGAGGACGGGACGACGCGTCGGCGGCTGCGGACTGCGATGCGGTTCACGCTTTCGTCGTCGCCGAACATACTGTGTAAGAGAAACCCGGTCGGCGGTGTATCGCTTTACGACCCGGCAGGCTGGTTCTGGCCCAGCGGGGTATCCCGGAACACCAGCGGCATCGCCCGGGCGGCCTGGCAGGGCCGCCGTACCGCGGAGACCGACGTCGTTGGTCGTCGACTATCGCCTCGACGATCCGTCGGTAGGGCGTCCTCGGGGTGGCGCCGCAAGTCTGGTTGTAGTGTTGACCGCGGCAACCCCCCTACTCTGACCGGGTTTTGACCCCGGACGGAGATCGGACGTCGGGTGTAAGAGTGCAGGGGAGTCGTTTAGTGGGTGGGCCCTAAAATTCCTTGGGCCCGCGGTCTGCTTCCAACACCTTGCAGATAGTGAGTCCCACATACCACGCGCGCCCCCTAGGCGCGGGGACCTCATAGGAGGTTCGGCCCCCGGCCCGAAAAAAAAGAAAATATATAGTCACTCAAGCTTAGGACGAAACAAAAAAAAAGACCTCAAGGTCCACCTGATGTTACATAGTGACCGGAGCATCAGCATCAGCATCAACAACGTAAATGCCACCAACCACCATGAGTTCTAACCACAAAGGCTGCCCCACCCTACAAACCAAAGCGAATTACTGTTCACGGCGGAGTACCTACCCGTTTTGTAAGGCCGCGCGAGTAGGTGCCACTATCCTGCCTATTTACGCAAAGTATTCATGCCCAATCGTTTTTTTATGATTGAAACATTACTGTTGGCCCGAAGGCCTTTCCAGTTTCACCAGGACAGATGGGCTAGCAAAGGCTCAGCCAGGAGGGGTGGGATTTGCTAACAACTGCCCGAGCACCTCCGAAGGAGACCTAACAACTCAAGAGCAATTGCTTCGCGAATGAATCTACTACCGGATCGGAATCGCGACCCGCTGAGAAGATCCGGCGAGAAACTCAGCGGGCTGATGCATGGGTTAGGTTGAACGTCGACCTCTTTGTCGAGTTCGACGAATACGGTTACCGGGGTCCCCAAGCCTGCCCCTAGTATTAGAGCTGAAGGCGTCTAATGCAAAGGTTATTGGATCTGATGGATCCGTAAAGACGTGTCTAGGGCGTCGACGGTGACTGGCTCCTGCATGATCAGGATTCGGGGAGTAGTCAGCGGCGGCAACGATAAGGCGATTATCATGACGCATAGCCTTATCGAAGTACCGTTCCGACGCTGACTTCATGTATTTCTGGATAGATTCGAGGCCCAGGTCGTCGTGTAGGTCAACGTTCCTTACGAACCACGGAGCCCCGACAGCTAACCTGCAAAAGCGGGATTGTAGGGATTGGAGGGTGTCTATGTGTGTGCGGGCCGCGTGAGCGAACACCACACTCGCGTAAGTCATGACGGGCCTTATGCAAGTTTCGTAAAGTGTTACCCTGTTCGGAAGAGACATTTTACTCCGCTTACAGATCATGGGGTAGAGTCTACCGAGAATAAACGCGGCACGGTCACGGACTGATTTTATATGCGGGCGGAATGTCATCGATGCATCCAGGGTAACGCCCAGGTACTTGACCTTCTTGGCCCAGGGTATGGGTTGTCTAAAGAAAGTAATCGGGGGTGTGAGATTCCTCCTTCTAATCCGGGAGGAAATCCGCGTGGAGCTTCTCCTCTGAAATAGCACCGCAGTACTTTTCGCTGGGTTGATATCTATGCGTCATTTTCGGAACCACTGTCCCAGAGCTAGGGCTGCGCTCTGAAGCTTCTTCGCGATTAGGAACTTGTTTCTACTGGAATAGTAAACAGTCGTGTCGTCGGCGAATAAAGCTAACTGGGTCGGCGGCGAGCCCAATCGTGTTTGCCGGTTCGAAGTATCAAGTCTTTTATCATTATTTTGTTAAATTTAATTTTCGATCTCAAACTTCAAGGTAAAATACAGGTAGTGGTGATTTTCGTGCTGAGATATTTGGACTCGGCTGACATTTTCCGAACAACGCTATAAAGTATCGCAAGGAAACAGATCTTGCAAACAGATTAACTGAGAATAAACTCATAAACTAAATAAGCTTCATATTCTGCCGTGAAGCAGTAATGCGTGTCGGTTTGAAGCGTGGGGCAGCCGTTGTGTTGTAAAAACTGAGACCTTAAAACTCATATCTCAAGGTTGGTGGCGGCATTTACGTCGTATATGTCTATTAGCTCCGGTAACCACTTAACAACAGATGGGCCGTGTGCTCGTCCACCTATATAAGCAATAACCTATACATATAAATAAAATTGAAGTGTCTGTTTGTAATATTGAAATAGCCTCTTTTTACTACATGCATCTGAATATATACGGTACATACACCAAAATAACATTTTTTACAGTTTTGGTCTGTCTAATCTAA